CCGCCCACCGACGTCCCACGCGGCCACGCGCCGGTCCATCCCGCACGTCACGAGCTCGTCGCGCGCGAGAAGCAGCGCGCGCACGGCCCCGCCGTGCGCGTGGAACTCCGCGGTGGGCGCCCAGCGGCCCCTGGTCCGCGCGCCGCGCACGAACGCGCGCACGCTCCCGTCGCTTCCGCCGGCCCACACAGTCGGCGCCTCGCCCCCCGCCACACCTAGCGCCGTCACAGACGCGCGCACGCCCTCCGAGAGCACGCATTCTGAAGCGCCGCCGCCCGCGTAGATGCGCACCGTCTTGTCGTCCCCGCCGGACGCCGCCCATTCGCCGTCCGGGGATAGCGCCACGGCGAAGATCTCACCCTCGTGCGCGTTGCTAACGACCTTCCGCACGCGCCGCGGCATGAACTCCCGCTCTAGGGGCACGCCCTCTGACCGCGCCACCGCGGCCACCTCAGGCGGCAGCGCACCCGCGCCTGCACCTGCACCCGTTGCTGCCCCATTCCCCTCTGCACCCGCGCGGAACGCAGACCGCAACAGGTTGGACGCCTGCCGACGCGCACGCGTCCACCCCTCCCTCGTCGCCCGGTCCGCCCGTTCCGGTTCGCCGGCGCGCGAGCGCGTGCCCGCCGCTTGCGCCACAGATGTGCCGCTCGGCAACGCCGCGCGGTCAGCGTCGGGGTCCGGCTGCTCGGGCTGCTCGGGCTGCTCGGGCTGCTCGGGCTGCTCGGGCTGCTCGGGCTGCTCGGGCTGCTCGAGCTCCTTGGGCTCCATGGGTTGCTCAGTCTCCTCGGGCGCCTCCGGCACGTGAGGCGCAGGCAGCTCGGGGCTGTCGGGTGCGGAAAGCGGGGCCGGCTCGATGGCATCGAGAGGCGGCTCGGGAGGCGGCTGCCCAGGCTCGTCTGCCATGAGCGGCGGGTGGTCAGGCTCGTCCGCCTCGCTCAGTGCGGGCTGCTCCGTGATAGCGCTCAGGACGCGGTCGAGGTTGGACGGCGGTTGTGCGGCGGCGGGACGATCGCGATGCACGACCTGCGGCGGCGGGGGGTGTTCGTGCTCCGGGGGGTCTTTGGCCATATCCCTGAGGGATCTGATGAGGTCCTCTGCGGCGGCCATAGTTGTGTCGACGCGGGCGCGGTGCACTGCCTGAGCGTGGAGCTGTGCGCGCAGGGCGGCCTCGCGGGCGAGGGCGTCGCGGAGGCGGGCGTCTGCGGCGGCGGCTGCGCGGCGCGCGGCGGCGAGCTCGGCGTGCTGCGCGGAGAGCTGCTGCGCGGCGTCGCGGAGCTGGGCCTGGTGGTGGCGCAGGGCTCGGCGCAGGACGTTGAGCTCCGAGGACGGGTCGTCGGCAGGCGCGGCGGGCACGGCGGACGCGGCGGGCGGCGGCGGCGGCGGTGGGGTGGCGTGCGGCGACATTTAGGACGGCGCGGCGCGCGCGGAGGGAGCGCGGCGATGCGTTCTGCTGGCGGGACGGGGCGGGGACGCGCGCACGCGGGGGCAGGCGGAAGGGAAGGGGGGCGCAGCTGGGCGGGGCCGCGCTTCGTTTGGGGCGTGCGCAAGTTGCAGCTGCGGAGAAGGTGGGGCTCCTCTGAGACCGGACACGTGTTGGCGCTAATGTACACGTGTAGCTGAATGTGTAGCTGAATGTGGAGGTTTTGGCTTCGGGGTGGTGCACTGCTGGTTACACTGCTGGTTACATCGGTGTAGTCATTTATGTACACGTGGAAATGACGAGGACACTTGGCGGCGGCGACCATAACGGCGCGTGCCCGCGCTCCACCACACGTGTTCACGTGTTCCGGTTGGAGGGCGCCGCAAATATTCGACACGTTTCCAGATGCATCGCCATCCAATCTGCGCGCCGCACTTCCCGGTCTCCACGCCCTCGCACTGTACTAAGTTTTAGTATACTACTAACTACCCCCTCCCGCCCCGCCTCCACGCCCCCGCACGCATCCGCCTTCCCTCACTCACCATGTCAAACCCCGACGCCACGCAGCCGGACGACAACCCGTCGACGTCCACCGAGCTCAACCCGCACAAGGAGCTGCTGGCCGAGGCCGCGGCCGCGCTGCGCGCGGAGACGGAGCAGCGCGAGTCGCGCCGCCCGAAGAACGTCGGCCAGGGCACGATGGGGCTGGTGGGCGACTCGCTGGGCGGCGTGGCCCTGGGCGCGGCCGCCATCGTCATGGGCCCCGTGCATGGATACAAGACCGCCGGACCCAAGGGTATCCTCGGCGGCGCCCTGGGCGGGCTCGCCATGGGCGTCGCCGCCACCACCGTCGGCGTCGGCTCCGGCATTGCAAAGTTCGCCCAGGGGACGGAGCGCACCCTGGATAGCTTCAATGCGCGCGAGCTGCCGAAGAGATTGATCGTTAAGGAAGGCGAGGATGACGGCGAACTGTACTTTCGCGAACGCCAGCAGCTTTATGACGACTTGATTAAGGAGGGAGCCGCGAGTGCTGGCGTTGGCGTGCTGCAGCCGCCGGTGGAGAATGAGCTTTATAAGGTCCTGGACGTCAGCGTTGATGCGACCCCGAACCAGATAAGGAAGGCGTATTATCGCATGGCCCAGAAGTATCACCCGGATAAACATCCGGATGATGTAAGTGCCACACAAATGTTTCAGCAGATTAGCGAGGCATACCAGTACGTTTACCACTCGTTTATATTCTTTCCCGCCGCCGCAATATTTAGGGACCACCCTTATCGAAGCTAACCCCTCTTTCCGTTTTGTCCTTATCCCTGTGCGCGCCACGGCAGAGTGCTTTCTGACCCTGTCAAACGTGAGGAGTACCACCGCGTGGGCGCCGCCGCCGCCTCTGACGGTCCGATGATGGACCCCAAGGCCCTGTTTGCCCTCATGTTTTCCGACTTTGAGCACATCGTGGGCGACCTGGCGACGGCCACCATCCTGTCCACGATGCCGCCGGAGCCGACGGAAGCGAGCGCGACGAACCCCGACGAACCGGCCGCTACCCCCGCCGAGCCGGCCGCTGCCCAAGCCGAGCCCTCGCACATATCGCAGGCCCGCCTGGAGAAGAAGAAGGAGTTCCAAGATGCCCGCGAGGCGCACCTGGTCAGCCTGCTCGAGCGTCGCCTCGAGCCGTGGATGAACGATAACGACAAGGCCTTTGTTGAGCACGCGAAGCGCGAAGTCCGCGCCATGCGCGCACAGCCATTCGGGAAGGACCTTTTGAAGACTGCGGCCTATGTGTACAAGCGACAAGCCGCTAAGGTCCTAGAGACGGGGCCGCTCAGGGGCGTCTATGGCATGCTGGACAGTCTCGGCGATAAGGCGCATACACTGAAAAGCCAATTCCGAGCCCTAGAAGGCGGCGTCAAGGCCTTGACAGCATCGCAAACCACTACGGAGAATGAGTCCATCGATGAGGCCGCGAGGAGAGAGGCCGTGAGCACCCTAGGGGCTGTGTGGCTTGCGTCTGTCATTGACATCGAGTTAACGTTGAAACATGTCGTTAAGACTGTCCTGCGTCATGACAAGGATCACAAGCCACCGAAGAAGGTGCTGAAAAAGGCGGAGGGGGTATTGATCCTCTCGCAGATTTTCGCGCAAGCCTGAAAGCCCGGCCGTGGTTTTTTTATTGTATCATTACCTTTTGTGTTGCGTGAGAGGAGATCTTCTTGATGTGATTTGCGACTCGGACGAGTCATGCCGGTTTCCTGTATGTGAACATAAACTAAACTAGTGCTAATAGTGGAAACGTCACGTTATGCTTACGAAATGGGTCGTCTTTGTCTCATCTGCATGATCGACGCCGCATGGAACGCATCATTGCTTCAGAATGAGAGCTGCTTGTTTCAAGCGTTATGGCGGTGCACACGCGCAAATAGCTGTCTGAAACTCGTATTATCAAGAAGGACGTAAGACTACTTCCATGCACGAAGCCGCTTCTGCTTGCACTTACCTTCAGCGTGATCTCACTGACCTGCACACTTTGAGCAGCCTTCGAAGACGAATGTATCCTCTCGGCTCCAATGTCGACGCTCGAACATGAATGCATGGTTTCTTACGCTTGTCCAGAACAAACATGGACCCATCTTTATGCAAGGAAATCCCATTTTTGGAGGGAGCGGGACGGGCTGTGCTAATGCTGTTAGGAAGTTGCTTCTGTTTCCCCTGCATGCTGTAATATGATAAAATTACACATCTTGGCTTTATCAGCTTCCTGCCTCCCCGCCTTGCAACCCCGTTTTCCATGCCACAGTGGTTACTTAGATCTTGAATTAAAATCACGTTCCTGACTTCGATCTCTTTCGGGGAAGAGTTGTTACAGATGTTTAGAATTTTTGTGCACAGCAATAATGGTCGGAACAAAATCACCTGCAGTTAGCCGACAGTAAACTTCCGAGAACGCCGTTAGTGGTGTAGACGAAATCCCTACCGATAGTTGCTTGGTGTCAGTATTTTTAGTATTCTAATAGGGGGTCTTGTGCGAGGCATGAGATTCGCGGTGTATCCCATTCCCCAGCCCATCCTTCAGCACTTCCATGTTGGAAAGTAAGCTCATTAACAGTGTTCAGTCTCTTCCCATCACACACTTTAATTTCCTTCTTTCAGTTTGTTGGGAGGAGCAGGTTTCTTGGTAAACGGCAAGCTTTTTTGTGCGTTCACCCAAATTTGGTTTCAAGAGTGGAGGGAGAAAAAAAGCCACGATGAGGAAATACAGGCCACGACTATCGGCCTCGATGCTACGAACGTACAATCCTACGCATTCATCCCCCACTTGGACAGAGTCTGATGCAAAGCCTCCAAGCAAAACAGAGAGCACAGTTACCCTTCATGAAATCCCCAAGGGTCAGACTTTCAAAGAAAACAACTGGCAATCCCCATCGTTCATCTTGTGGATGGCGATGCTCGCAAAAGAAGCATTCCGATACATTCAGTACCAAAAAATTTCTTTTGTTGTGGCTAGTCTCTCTGTGTTCCTGGTGGTATTTGCAGCGACTATGCTGTCTTCCTTGTCTAGCTATGCCTCCATTGTCATTACAAGATTAGCAGAGCTTCAAGTAGGTGAGTCTGATGTCTTAGTTTCTTCAAGGTCTGCGGCTGATTTCTTGAACTTTACGGCAATGAAGCACACCATAGAAGAAACTACGGACACAATCTCGAAGGAGGGTCTGAACGTAAACAAATCGCTTTCTCCCAGACTAGGATTCCGTGTATCTGTGCAAGCACTTGTTTGCAAACAAGAACCCACTTCAAGAGGTACCTGTCGTGAAAATCACAATTATACCGGTGAAGTCGTTCCTGCCAGGTTGATTTTGTATGATCACGATATTGAGAGAGAGGCTCAAATAGGCAAGCTTTGGCCTCATCCCAAGCTTCAAACAGGCCATGTCTATATGAAAGCAGGGCTGCAGCAAAGACTGAGGATCTCAGAGGGGGACTACGTGAGACTCTCCGTGCACATCGGTATGTTTCTTTCTCAGGTATTTCGCAGAAGCGTGAACGCAAATGATTCAGTTGTTGTCGTTCCTGTTCGAATAAGAAAAACGGTTGAAAGCCTTCATGGAAAGTTTCCAGTCATAAGCTCAACTGAAGATGAAGATGAGGAGGTTGCGGGCGTTTTTGGGGAATTATCCCATTTTCTACGGGATGCGGTTGCCTTTGCAAATTTATCAAGTCCAGATGCGGAGAAGCTACAAGAGCATCGCTTGCAAGATACAGTTTCCACTATGTTGATACGTATACCGAAGCAAAGGGCAAGTGTATATTATAACAGCGACTTTGCAATGATGCAAAGACAAGTTGTCCACTTCGCGACAGCTGTACTGCGTGATATGTCCTTAGACTCTCTGAAAGTTTCGCTTCCGTTGCTGAAAAAGCTTGACGAGTACAAATTTCTCAGTCTTTTCATTGGACTTGTCATCCAGGTGGTCATATTCGTGTTTGCATTCCTTTGCTTTATACTTTTGTACAGCCACATGTTTTTCGCTGTTGAGTCAAGAAGTACAGAAATGGGAACATTGCGTTTACTTGGACTGACCAGAGGTGGAGTCGCGTGGATGACGCTCATGGAAATGCTCATCATCGCGATACCCAGTTGGGGACTGGCACTTTTGGCAGCTCAATTTTCTTTTCGGACATTGGCAATCGTTGCAAATGAGCGCTTCGGTACCAACTTACCAGAATTGATATCCACTTCATCAATAGTCATGGCCTGTGCTGTTGGTTTAGCCCTCCCAGTTCTAGCCTCTCTACTTCCCGTGCGAAAAGCCATGACTAGAAGACCTCTGGACGCCTTTTCTTGGCGCACATCGAGAATATCTGCAGTAGTTATATCAAAGCAAAAGAATGACGGTCTGGCGTCTCCAGGACTAATGATAGCTGCGAGCCTTATGACCTTGTATGGAATCATTATATTCAATATTTTCCCAAAGGCGATTATCAAGATGGACCTCAAGTCACTCGTTTATCTGTTCGAAGTGTTCATCATCAGTATTCTCTTCGGAATGGTCCTTTTTCTGACAAACTTTGATCTCCAAACTTCTGTCGCTTTGAAGAAAGCCCTCTTCTTCTACGAGAGACAAAGTGTTCGAAGAATATCGAGGTTGAATTTGATAACACACAGAAGGCGAAACCGAAGGACCTTCTTGATGTACAGTATATCCGTCGCTTTAGTTGTCTACATTGAGACAAGCTTGCAGCTACAACTTGAAACTGTTCTAACAATAATGAGATTTCACACTGGAGCGACGTACAGAGTGTCGCCACGTATTTCAGGCGATAGTAAGGCTTTTGAATGCTGCAAGCAAAAACTTGAAGAGCTTTCCAGTTCGCCTGGTGTGAAATCTTTTACATGGGTATCAGAATCAATTCCAAAGTTTCTACCCAAAGACGCTTCCATGACAAACCTAGGCGGAGCTTTTTCGACCCCACTGCACGCACAAGCAGTGCTCCCAAGTTACCTTGGCTCAACTTACAAAGGTATATATCGCGGATCTTTGAAAAGTCGCGGCAGCTGGAATAACGTGGACGTATACGAGGAACTGTACACAATCAAGGGCTCCCAGTCTATTGTTGTACACGACGGCATGCGAAGAGTCTTAGGTCTTCGAGGGCCGGGATCTCCTGTCGCGGCTCGAGTTGTTTACACACGTAACGATGCCCCAGATAGTACAGCGGAAATTCAGACCGGACCGAAAACTGTGAAGGAGGGGTCGTCCATACTCTCTGTTTCAGCTGAGTTCAGCGGTCTTCCTGGGTTTCATAAGAACAAATACAGCAAGTACCAACCTTCCCTCGTTTCGTTTCCAACTTTTACTCGACTTATTGGAGGTCGCTACCCATACGTGGACAAACTCCCGCTCCGTGTCTTTCTCCTTCATGTCGACACAAATTCTGTAACCAGCTCGAATCTTGCGGATATTGGACAGACACTGGGCAAAATTAAAGGGCCAAGACTTGATGTTGAATCAGTGGAGGAGACGACCGAGTCCATTGCAGCAGCAAGCACTATAATGCGATTTGGATTCCTGGGCATCAACGCTTTGGTGCAGACTGTATGTTTCTTTGCCCTTTTGGCGGGGATGATAGCAAACGCAAGGGAAAGCAGAAAGGAGACGGCAGTTCTCCGCGCAATTGGCATCCGAGAGCACGTTCTCATTCGGATTGTACTTGCGGAGGCACTGAGTCTTCTGATGGGGGCAAGTGCTGTAGGGATAGCTACCGGTTGGGGCGTGTCACACGTGCAGCACTACCAACAGAACATATTCCTCGATCTCAATTCAACCATCCATGTACCTTGGATAACCTTCGCGACGACATTTGTGGTTTCGTTGGTGTCATCAATAATTTCTGCAGTGCTGTCCAGCAGACTCGGAAGGCGCTCCATAACGACTGATCTCTCAAAGGTGTAGCCAGGCTTAAAATAAAGAACGGAAATGAAGTTCTGGTGAAGGATCAAGAGGAGATATCCATGGCGAGCTCACCTTCTTCCTCGACAAGAAGCGTTGCAAACTGAGTGGAAAACGAGTCCAAATGAGAAGCGCAATGCAAAAACAAGCTCAACTCTCTCGACATTGCGTCCTTTGTCTCTTCGATTTTAGCAATCTCGTGTTCGACTTCTGCGAGCTCCTTATTTGCCTGATCCAACTGCTGCTGCGACTGCAGCAGCCCCGGCTCCCTCAACGAAACACTCGCAATCGTCTCGTACTGCTTTCTCCTCCCTGCCTGTAAGCGTTCGCGGGCAAGAACCTTGTGAAGACGTTCAACTTCAATTTCCTCACGGCTGACTGCAGCCTCAATTTTTGCCACATCTTCGGCGAGCTCGAAGCGTTCATTTCCCGCGGCGCGAATTAAAGACGCGGCGACGTCCGTCGCAACGCTGACCTGATCACATAGAGAGAGAATTTTCTCTGCGAGGGCGACGTATTGCGAATAATTGCTTGCAGAAGGGGTCTGGGCGTGCAGTTGCGCGACGGCTTTTCCTAAATCCTTCAGCGCCGACCCGGCCCATTCTTCAGCGAGAACGCGCTTGCGAATCGCCTCTCTCCTCACGTCCTCAATCTCGGATATGTCGGTTGTCATAGTCGGAGCACCTTTCTCTCCCGGCATCGTGACACGCAAGCGTGATGCCGCAGTTGTTGAGCGTGAGTCAACGTAGCTCTCGTAGCAGTCGCGTAACTACGACTGGATTGTCTTGCCTCACAACTGCGCCTTGAGACGTCTTAAAGCTGCGACGTGCTTATGCAGGCCACCTTGGGGTTTGGTTTTGAACGGAGGGTCATGTCTGAAAATGTTATTCAAATTTAACGCAGTGCTGCATCACTGTCCAATGCGATCGAGACCACCTTCCCTAAACCCGGCATTGCTGGATAAGACCAGGACGAGACCGCCGACCATCGTTGTCTATTTTGGCTTCACTATTTCGTCGCCGACCACTATCCCTTGAGCCTCCGCGTAAATGTTGGTAGCTTCAAACACTTCTCTTGTACGTCCACGTTTTGTGGCGTGAAGTGTCCCGCGTACCATGGAAAAGTACCGCTCAACAGCCGACCCATCTACTGGCATTCATCCGTACCTGCCGCAAGCACCTCCACCAACATCCATCTCGGTCAAAATACTGCGCCCTTTCTTATTCCTTCTCCGTCTGCCGTTCTTCGTTCTTGCCGTCGTTCTGTCTATCCTCTTCACCCCGCTTCTGCTTGTCCCGTGTTTCTTGTCTCGTGCTCTCATTCGCCTACTCGCCCGCTTGTTCCTCTTTTCACTGGGCGCAACTCGCTTCTCGCCTCCAACTTTACCGAAATCCAGACTGCGTGTAAGAGGCAAGCCTGTGGTGTCTCGTCCGCCAAGCGCAGGTGAATTGGTGATTGCCAATCTCAACGGTGCTATTGGCCCCCTTCAACTAGTCGCGGCATACTCTCCCATATTTGTCGTGCCCACAGATGGCGGTATAGCCCTCGTATCGTTTCGCAATCTAACGTCTTTAATCGCGACCGGCAGGCCTCTATCCGACCTACCCAACGTGGATTTCGAAGCCCTAGTTGCTAACGCACGCACTCCCGTCGTTATGTTCGCCGAAGGCGGATCGTCTAACGGCCGTGGAGTTCTCCGCTTTGCCCCTCGCGCGTTCTCCGCTGTGCTGGAAGTCGCCACGAAACTAGAAGGGCGCCGTATATTTGCCCTCGGGCTTGCGCCGCGTCGTGGGCAAGAGTACTGCGGTGTATTGCCGTCAGTTTCGCGGTATGTTATCGGATTAATGAGCGAGATTGCCACGGACGTCCCTGCGACATATGTACAAGTCACGCTGAAGGAGATTTCCACCGTGCAGGCGGCCGTGGCGAAGTGTGCCGGCTTACCTGTAATGGCTGTCGGGGCTGATCGACGAGAACACTTTGAAACACATTGGAAGGAAGCGGGCGGTATGGATCGGTAGCGGATCGTTCTATAATAATAATGTCCCAGGCTTCGACTGGGCCGGTGGGCGGACTTCGCTTTTTGCGGTTTACGATTGGCCTTATACTTCAGCTTTAGAAGCGCTCTGGGCAAGGATACTCGCGTCAACATTTGGGAAGGATGGGAAGAAATCGTTGACAAGGACTCTTGCGATAGCGGCAACGCCACCCTCGCGTTCAGACTCAATGTTGAGTGGCAGGAGAGGGTCGTGGAGGCTTTGTCTAAGTAGAAGCCACCCGGCCTTGTCGTCGCCCTCGTCGACGCTTACCCGAAAGCCCTCATAGTTTGTTTCTTCGACTGTCCATCCGTCGACAGACGACGCAAACTCAGAGAATGCCTCCACGACACGCCCGCCGTACTCGCCGAAGTTTTCCTGGTCAATGAACTTGAGACGGAACTCGTGCTCCTCTAACGGAGCGTCGAGTCCGTCTAACAGCCCTCCAATTCCACGCATATCGCCTGCGAGTCGCAGCCTTACCATCTCGATAATAATTTTCACAGCGAGATAAGCACCATCGTCCAGCATGTAGTTCTCCTTCATGGCACCGTGCCCAGAAGTTTCGATAGCCAACTCGGTTTGTACTCCTTGGTCATTTAGCTCAATGCCTTTGTCGATGACGTTCTTGTAGCCTTTTTTATACCGGAAATGAACGCCACCCTCATTTTCAATAAACCGCTTCAACCCATTTGACGTCACGCTATCCGTGACGATAGTCGAGCCAGGAGCATCGCGCAGCACTATCTTTGCTATGAGAGCGATGAGACGATTGCGATTGATGCCAAGCCCGGACGGATCGACGACGCCCGAGCGGTCAACATCAGTGTCAAAAATAACTCCCAAGTCAGCGCCGACCCTCTTCACAGTATCAATCGTCATGGACATGGCCTTCTTATCTTCCGGATTGGGCACATGGTTCGGAAACATCCCATCCGGCTCCAAAAACTGCCCCACAACGTCAGCGCCAAGCGGCTCGAGCACCTGAGACGCGAAAAACCCGGCAGCGCCATTCCCCGCGTCGACGACAATCTTAAACCCTGACAAGGGCTTATCATAGGTATGCGGATGGTTGCATCCCGCGCGAATCAAACGCACAAGATGCGCCGAGTACGCTGGCAAAAAGTCGATCTTCTCAAGCGCCGGCGGGGCGCTTGTCTCCGGGGCGTCGCCCTCCGCCTCGAAAAGATCCGCGGTGCGCTCCAACAGGGCCTTCACACCCTTCTTATTGGCGCTTCCCGCGCTCGTGAAAAACTTGATGCCGTTGCGATTCGGGGGCAGGTGGCTAGCCGTGAGCATGCACGCGGCGTCGAAGCGGTACGGCTCGAGCACGGTGGCCATGAACATGGCGGGGGTGGTGGCCAGCCCGACATCGGTAACCTGGGCGCCGGCGGCGGCGACGCCCGCGGCGGCGGCGCTCAGCAGCTCGGGGCCGGAGATACGCGAGTCCCTGCCAAGGGCGACGCGCAGCTGGGCGGCGGGGACGGCGCGCTCCGCGTTGACGGA